ATCAATGCTGATACCACTGGGGAAACAACTGGCGAGAATCGGAAAAGAGGGGGGGAACAACGGCGTCACAAAAACACTCTGCACCAACGTGGCGATCTTGTAACATAATGCCGCACCACACACCTGGGCCGCAACTCAACACCCCCCTGTACGCTCCCAAAAATCACAAGGGTCAGCCAAATGCATCACCTGATTGAGTGCGTACGGCGGGTTCGTGTCGTGACGACCCCAGCGTTGATTTCTGACACCGCGGGGATCGTTTCACCTTGAACGATCGGCCGTTTCCGAAGCGTCCAAATCGTTCCACATCGAACGATTCTGGGTCGCCCGCGGCCTTCAGCGTGGTACGCCGCTGGCGTGGTCGCCGCCAGTCGACACGACGCAGACATGCCGATCGTGCCCCAGGCCCCTCTCGGCGATCGGCGGGGCACCCGGGGGTCGATGCAAGAGGGCGCGGGGGCCGTCCTCCAGGGTGGCTTCCCACGAGCTCGCGCAGAGGAGCTGGGCGATGTCCTCCGGCTGCAGGAGCGTGCTCAGCGCGATCGCCTCGCGCGGCGGCCCGCGGGGGGGGCGAGCGGCGCTGGGTTACGGCGGTCATCCCACGAGGGAGTGGCGCCTCCTCAGCCTCATCATCGCCCCCACGAATGATCACCAGCCAGCACCACCCATCATCATCCATCACGATCCTCACCGTCGTCACCGTCATCATCGTAATCACCATGATCACCATCATAACCATCATAACCATCATCACCACCGCCATCATCGTCATCGCCATCAATGAACATGACCATCGCAATCACAATTGTCATCACCAACATCGTCATCATAAACATCATCATCATCACCATCGCCGTCACCATGACTATGACCATGACCGTCACTGTCACCGTCATGATCATCATCAGCAGCAGCATCATCACCATCACCATCCTAAGCATCATCATCATCATCATCATCATCATCATCATCATCATCATCAGCATCAGCATCAGCATCATGGCCGTCGTCATGTTCAGCCTCGTCGCCATCGCCACCGTCGTCAGCATCACCATCATAATCACCGGCAACATCATCATCATCATCATCATCATCATCATCATCATCATCATCATCATCATCATCATCATCATCATCAGTATCACCATCAATGTTATCATCATCATCATGTTCATCATCAGCAGCATCAGCATCATCACGATCATTCTGATCATCATCAGCATCATCAGTATCGCCATCAAAGAGTACGATCTGAACAACTCCCCAGAGCGATTCTCAGGCACCGAAATTGATCGCCATCGTTTGCTCGTCAGGCCCTACATCAGAGAGGCAAGGAGCTGAATCAGGGGAGATTCCGATATGACCTAGACGTCCCGCATGATTATGGGCCTCCTGCGGGCCCCGAAATGGCCCAAAGATCCGGCAACATCGCCGATGAATCATCATCAATGTACAAATAATGGCAGGCGCGACGAGAGCGGCCCCGCACGGATGGAGAAGTGAAGACCAGCCCACCTTGACGAGCTGCGAACATGGAAAAACAACAAAGAGCAGGGTACATAGTCCGTGGTCGGAGGAGGAGGACATGCACGTTGGAGACCACTGACTCTCGATGCGTCTGCTGACCTTTACTAATGACATCGCCGTCACCTCACCCCTCTTGCTCGAAATGCTTGTTAGGTCTGCGGCTCTCCCTCAAAATTGGGGCAACCGTCACGGCTGTCTTCCAATATCGCGTCGGAAACTAGCAGCACTGCGCGCTCGCCTCGAGCTTCAGGCCAAGGCATGGGCCATCGAGGACGGAGACGAACGCGGAGACGTCGACGATTAACGCTTAGAGTGAATGATGGATGGATGCTCATGGAGGCCATGGTAGACGCCTTCGAAATGAGGTCCGGATAAAGGGGGCGGAGGACCACGCCGCATCGCCGATGCATCGGCGATGCTTCGGCTACGTCGGCGATGCATCCGCGTGCAGAACATCGGCAGCCGCATCGCCGATGCATTGGCACTGCGGTGTGATCCTCTGGCCCCATCTACCCTGGCCCAGTCTGGAAATATTAACAAAAACCTCACGGAGACCCGCGCGGACTTCTTGGATCAGCGCTGTACGCTGTACCACCCACCCTGGCGCGCGGAGCGCGCCAGGAGCGGCGCCCCGGGCGCCGCCAGGGAAGCTCAACGCCACATCGAAATATGTGTACACATGCAAATTGCAAGATTCCCCAAAAATGCTTGCTCGTAGGGGTTTGTGTGCGTCGGTTTGGCGGCTATGTTGTCGCCGTCGTCGCCCCGTCGCGGCCCCGTCGCTGGCTCGTCGCCGCCCATCGTCTGAGCCTGTGCGTCGGTCTGCAGGCTATGTTGTCGCCGTCGCCGCCCCGTCGCCGCCCCACCGCCGGTCTGCAGGCTATGTTGTCGCCGTCGCCGCCCCGTCGCCGCCCATCGTCTGAGCCTGTGCGTCGGTCTACCGGCTATGTTGTCGCCCTCGTCGCCCTCGTCGCCACTCTTCGCCGCCGTTTGATTGCACCACATAGATCGTTTCGTGATGCTTCGCAATGCTTTGCATTACTTAGCACTGCTTGGCATTGCGTTGCAACGGGTTGTCTTGCGTTGCATTGCGCTGCATTGATTTGCATTGCGTTGCTCTGCCTTGCTGTGCCTTGACTCGCATTGCACTGCATTGCTTTGCATAGAGTTGCGTTGCAATGCTGTATGTATGCTGTTTGCACCATACGCATATGAGTAAACATCTTGCACCGCGTAGACTGCACCACAGACAGTACCGCATACAGTGTTCCACCTTGACTGCACACGGCTCGGGGCCCACGCTGGCTGCTAGATCTATACCGAAGTACCCGTACACGTGTGCGCGCGGTGTCGTCGGTCATTCTGCCATGTGGTGGCAAACGTCACGAACGCCCGAATCGCCGTTTGCCGCTCTGGCTCGAGCTGGCCTCTGGCGCCAGGCTGTCGCCGCAGCCCTGCCGCTCCGACGCTGCCTATGGGGCGGCTCGGCCTCTTGCCGAGGCCCTGGCTGAGCGGGCGGCAGGCTGTAGGGCGGCAACGGAGCAGCACGCTTCGTTCCCTGGGGGCTGGCGGGTGCCTCTGTGACCGGAGCGGCACGCTCGTCGGGAGGCTGAGGGGCATGGCCGCCCGAGGGCGCTGGGCTGCGGAACTCACGTGGGCGGTGGCGCTGGAGAGCAGGACCGCGCCGCTAGAAGCGCAGCTACCCGGCTGCCGGCGGCAGCACAACAGAACAGGACCGCATGACGAGGGCTGCAGCAGGGCTCGAGGGCGTGCTGCCGGGTCGGGCCCGCGGCGCCGATTCCCGAGGAGCACGGGGGCTGCGGGCATGCGCCGGCGCGGCGAGGCGCGGGCGGCATCGGCTGCGTGCGCGAGCGGCGGCGGCCGCGGACAGGGGCTGGTGCGCACGCGCAGCGCGGCGCTCACACGCGGAGGCAGCGGGGCCCGCACGCTCGCATTGGGCGGCCGCCGAGGGGCCCCCACCGCCGAGAGGCCGACCCGACATCGGCGACACGGGACACGGGCAGCGCCCCAGGCGAGGCAAGCGCGCCTCGGGCCGCGCGGCGAGGGTGCGTCGGGCCCCAAGGGATCCACAACTGGGAACGCATGGCAAGGCTTCGGCCCAGCGCTTGGCCGCAAGGGGCGGCGGTGGTTCGCCGTGGGCCCTCTTCGACAGCGCTAGCCACATGGGCAGACAACCTCTCACGAGCCAAGAAACTCTTTGAGACGATCACTCGAGAAATCGGCCACGTCTCTGTACCCCCAGCTGTCTGGACCTGCCATGCGCGGAGCGCCTCGATCTTCAAGGCACGCCGACTTTTTCTGGAAGAGAGCTCGCCACCAGCGACGCGTGCGACAGAAGCTTGCACCTCGAGGTTAGCACACGCCAACAGCTGGCCAGGAAACGCGGACAGATTATTTGAAAAGAGAAAAGGGGAGGGAGGGAGGGAGACTTTGAGCAAACAGCCATGGATGGACGGCAGGGCAGCGACAACTAGGGATGCAAAGACGTGTGGAACACTGAACTGTACCCCCAGCTGTCTGGACCTGCCATGCGCGGAGCGCCTCGATCTTCAAGGCACGCCGACTTTTTCTGGAAGAGAGCTCGCCACCAGCGACGCGTGCGACAGAAGCTTGCACCTCGAGGTTAGCACACGCCAAAACGGACCGTGCCAAAAAACACGAAGTCGAATGGCCGCAAGGCCGTCACCATTTACTTATTGAGGGTTACATTGACAATTTGGACGCCATGGCTGAGACCTTACGGCACACGATAGCCTCATCGAATGCGCGGGCCAACTGCTGACACAGGCGGGCAGGATACGCCTCGGCTACGGCGGTCCAGAACCGTCGATCGGGCGCACGCCCCTCCAAACCTTGGTGGGGCAGTCCAGTACGACTGCAGCAGCCTTGAGCGCGCTGGCACAGCTTCACCAAGGAGGCCAAATCAATGTAAGTTCCTAAAAAGCTGGTGCGCTTCCGCCATGGAGTACCCCACTGGCAGAAGTCTGTACTGACGAAAGACCATCGCGTGGATCTGACAAGCGAGGCGACTGGCGGCGCGAGCCAAAGTCGAGAGGTGGACGGGTTTTCCATCGAACACGGCACCTGCATGCGGCGGGCGACGGTTAGAACCGAAACACTGAAGCGCATCATCTGATTTCCAACATCTACAGCGGCTTGTGCCGACGGTATCAAGTTGGGCAGGCCTAAGACACACGTGTCGGAGCGGAGACGGGGAGGACCAGGTTGGATATCTCTGGCGCGCGACCAGCTGCCACACGGCGTTCCCAGATGCACACCTAAAATAAGCCCGGCTTGGATCCAGCCCCGAATCAGACGTTGCCTCGAAACGTCACGGAGATCAAACAAGGGCCCGTGCTTAATGTCCCACGCTAGCACATGATACCCCTTTCGCGCCATCGCTCGTGCGAGGCGCCCAGAGCCTGAAAAGATCTCTAGGAAAACTCTCACAGTCAGCGAGCCTGGCACTGCAGGGCAGCGAGCCTCCCTAAGAGAACCTCGCGGAGCACGCTGCGGCGGTCCAGCACGGGGCTCTCGTCGAACTCTGCCGTCTCGCAGGGCCGCGACTCCTCGCCGTCGAGTGGATATAGCACCAGGGCCCATTCGCGGCTGAGACGCGGGTCGCACCATTGTAGGGCGGCCAGCATTTGAACTCCGCGCCAGTGGTCGACGCCCTCCAGGTACTGCCCCAACATCCTCCCCGCGAGTCTGCCGTCCAGCTCGGCGGCAGCCTCGGGAGCCGGCGGGATCCCTCTCTGGCCGTCGAGGGAGAGCGTCGGCTGCGCATGTAACCCTTGCTCTGCCAGCCAGTCGTTGACCTCGGCGCCCACCTGCTGGAACCTGGACGTCACTGTCTGCGTCCACGCTGTGCTCAGCTGTGGTACGTCCAGCGTCTCCGCTTCGGCCAGCTTGGCTCCGCCCCGGGCCAGCTTCCGCCACTCCACCACGTCGGCCGCAGGCGTAGCCTGCGCCTTGAAGAGCGGTGGCGAGCCAGCCAGGGCGACGCAGAGAGGCCTCCGAAGCGACGGTGCTGACGTCGCCCGGCTCGGCGGCACTGAGCGGATCCGCTGGACCGAGCGGGCCTCCTCCGCCTGGGCCGCCGCCTGGCGACGCTCCAGCCTGGCCGTTTCCAGCACGAGCGTAACCAGCGTGCCGCAGCCCTCGCGAGGGTCCGTCGGCAAAGTTCCACTCACTAGGCAGCCAGCGGGCACTGAGCCGGAGCCCCGTCGCCGCGACATGTGCTGCCACGGAGCGCAGCGCGCCGCTGACGCCGGGGGCCGAGGATCGGCCCTTGCCCAGAGCCAAGACGGAAGAGAGGGAGTCGGAGAGCAGGAGGTGGTGACAGTCAAAGGCCTTCGTGGATCTGCAGATGTGCTTTACCCCAAAAGCGATAGCCCTGGCTTCCCCCTCCACGATGTTGTCAGGCGGAGATCCCCACTTGTGCGAGCCCACCACCGCCCAACCTTCCTCACGAACCGCTTCGGGAAGACGTCCAGCGGCCCGCGTGCGGGCCTCGTTGTTAGCCTCCTCATCCCCCACGAACTGCTGGAAGTCCTTGGAGCTCTCTAGAGGCTTTGTCATGATCCCGTCGTCATTGGAGCCTGCAGCCCAAGCCCTGGAGAGCACCTTGTTGTCGCCCAAGAAGCGCCACCGTTCGGAGAAACAGCCCATCGAGCCCACGAGGTCCTTGTCGAGGTCCTTGCAGACCAGTCCGAAGCCCCAACAGGACGCGTCCGTGCACATCACCTTAGAACTCCATGACACCTGCAGCTTCCTGGAAATCAGACACAGCAAACTCGAGAACGTATTTAACTCCCAACGGACGGACTCCCAGAGAGGGACCGCGGCACAGTGGCCCAGCCGCCGAATAAAGGCATAGACGGACCTGAAGATCGACAAATGCTCACGGCAAAGAAGTGCTACAAAGGTACAATGGCCCAACACTTTCTCAACTTCTTTTGGACTCACCACGGCCTTGCTTGTAAGACAATCGAGCGCCATGCGAAGTCTCCACAGCCTTGATCTCTTTGGACGAATCTCTCTCTCTCGCCCTCGAATCTCCCACCCCAGGATGTCGGCATTATGATCACACATACAGACCTCATGAGTGGGTAACCCTCTGGACGTCAAGGCTGCGTTGACGAGCTTCACTGCGCGGGAAACGGCGTCGGGATCTGTGCCCAAGGCGAGAAAGTTATCCACATATATGGTCATCGCCAGTGGCTGCACCGGCGGCGCTACACTCTTGTCTGAAATGAACGGGACGTCGAGCAGCGCGGGGATGGAGCTGACGACCCCGCGGTGAATGGTCTGGCACCAATACAGCGCATGCGACCAGCCCATGGGCAGCACCGCCAGGACTGGCCACACACGGCTGCCAGGCGCGAGGGACTTTCCACCTAGGACACTCAGCCCCACATCACCTGCCTTCACCGCTGGCAGCGCGAAATAATCCCGAAAAGCCTCAGGCAATCCAAAGTGATAGAAGGCGTCGCAGATGTCAACGTGACCGACGTAGAGCTGCTCTCCTTCTGGCACGGCTAGCTCTCCAAGTGCAGAGCCTGTCGCCAGCGCGACTGTCGAAGGCCTCTTGAACCAGCAGTTAGCCCGTCGGCAGTCAATCACCATGCGCTGCTTGCCAGACTTCTTACGCACGAAGAAGAGGCCGCACCTCTCGCGTGGCGCGGCAGAGAAAGTCACCATCCCCGCCGCATGCAAGCGCCGCACCAACCCAGCATAGGCATGTGGCTGAGCTCGGAGGACAGCATCCATGTACGGCTGTCGCGGAGCCTCAGAGAGGTTGGACTCCGCATCCTTGCGTGGAAGGAGCTGCTCGTGTATTGATGCCTCGACATCTAGATCGCCCACGCCTGCAACCAGCTCCCCAAGCGGCACCGGAACGTTGCCGGCCTCGGGCAGCGAGACGAGGGAATCGTCGAAGCTGACGACTGGCGAGTCGATGTCCTCGTACACGCCAGCACCGCGGAGCTCACGGAGGGCTCCTGCGGGAGTGAGGCCAGGTGGCGGGGGGCCCAGCGCGGCGGCAGCATGACGAACTCGCTCATGTACCAAGCGATGGGGTAGCCGCTCCGCCAGGCCAGGAGCGCCGGGCGCCCCCGGCCGACCAGCCAGATCATTGAGGGCCCCCAGGGCGCGATTGGCTTCAGCCACTTGAGCGTCACGCCGCAGCAGCCGCCGCCGCACCGAGCGGTTCACTATGCCCTCTGCAGGAGCCTGGCCGTCCCGAAGTAGCGGGACAGGAAACAGGTCTCGACGGTCTGGAACTCCGTCGAATTGAATTCGCCCAGGTAAGCACGCAGGAGAGCCCTTGGGCTCGGCGGCCTTGAAGCTCGAGAAGGAGGCGGCCGCTCTCAGGCCTCCTTCCCGCGACGCCGTCATGACTTCCCTCCGCCGCCGTCCCCTTCGGGACCTTTGCGGCGGAGCTCTCGTTCTTCTCGGGCCTTCCTGATGTTCTTCATGATGGCGGCGTCCTTCTCGACCTGGCCCTTCACGAACTCGAGGAGCGTAGGGGCCACCATCAGAAGGTCCCCAGCCTTGCTGAAGCCGCTGAAAGCCGAGAACTCCTCGGGACTCATCTTGTCCTTGGAGCTAGCCGAGTCGGCCTCACGCAAACGCTCGTGGTAGCTCCACTCGATGGTCTGCGCCCGCCGAAAAATGGCCTCGGCGAAGGCGCAGTTGCTGAGGTCCAGCTGATCATAAGTGCCCGCCAGCTCGATGTACTTCATGAGCTGCTCATGCTCTTGCACCCCCCACTGCTCCGACTGGAGCCTCGCCGTCGTCTTGAACATCAAATGGTGATCCGTAGGGGTGCGCCGCCGCCGCAAGAAATCCAAGCACCACCAAGCCGACCGGGGCCCTGCCACGGGGAAGTCACCGAACGGCTCCTCCTCGCAGGCGTCCACGACCTCGCGCCACTCACGGCCTCGGCCCCGCGGCCCACTCTTCACCGTCAGTGTTCGGGCATCTCCTCCTCCCCCGTTCTCGGCGCCAGCGCTGAAGGGGTGGCCCTCGCCACTGCGCAGGCTCATCACGAAGGAGTCCTGGTCGAGCCCCGTCAGGTGCACCACCACGGCTCGCCCGGGCGCTGCAAGGCACAGCCCCTTGCCGCAGAGAGACTGCGCAGGAGGCCCCAACTCGTCTCCCAGCGCGATGCGGCAACGCTCGTCGGCCTCGGCTGCTCGCCATACACGTCCGCTCGACCGTGGCGTGCTGGTCCCCTCAACCGCAGGCCCAGGGGCGCCGCTGTCGCCGATGCCCTCCGCGGCCGCTGCGGCCGGTCCAGGGTGGCCCCCGTGGTCTCCTCCGAGGTCCAGACCGAGAGGAGGTCTCTTGCCCGTCATCCGTCGGCCACCGAAGAAGTTGGCCCCGAGCGCCTCCTGCACTGCCACGTCTCGCCCTGCTGCAGTCCGCACCGCCACCGGCGTCTCCAGCTGCACACCGCGCGCCTCCGCATCGGCATGGGCGGCCGAGAAGGCCCGACGATAGAGGTCCTTCATCACCTCCTCCGTCGGCGACTCCTCAAAGCGGTACGCCCGCCCAAGCCCACTGGGCAGCCGCAAGTCGCGCGGCATCTCCAGCCACTCGACGGGGCTGTCGTCGGGCGACCCTCCTTCAAGCTCCTCGATGTACATGTCACGGTCGGGGGTGTACACCACCCAGCAGGCTCCTTGAAGCCCGGCGCCAGCCGTCTCACTGGCTGCTGGGTACAGCAGGATCCGCTCGTGCCAGAGGTCGTCCCCTGCGTAGCGCACCACTGCTCTGCACCCCGGGAGAAGCCGCCACGAGGATCCCCTGGGCACTAGGGCCATCGCGAGGCTGAAGGTGAGCTGACGCGGCGCGGCTGAGGCGTCCGAGTCCGAACCCCGCGAGCAGCGCGAGCAGCACCAGTCCTAGCGCGGCTCCCCCGCCGACACAGCCCTCCACCGCCTCGCGCAGCGCCCCCACGACCGCGTCGGCGACCGCGTCACACACCGGCCCGCCTGCGGCCGTCAACCAGGGAGGGCTGCCTCCCCCGCCGCCCCCGCCAGCAGGAGCCCCGCCGCCCCCGCCTCCCTCCCCGCACGTGCAGAAGCACGCGGGGCAGGGCGGGTACGGCGGGCAGGGGGGCGCCGCAGGGCAGCTGGGCAGCAGCGCCCAGGACGCGCCAGCGTGGAAGCCCGCGCGAGCAATCTCGCGGATCCCCGAGGCGCTGGCCTCGACGAGAGGTCGCAGGGCTTCCTTCATGCCCTGGAAAAAGACTTTGAGCAAACAGCCATGGATGGACGGCAGGGCAGCGACAACTAGGGATTCAAAGACGTGTGGAACACTGAACTATTGTGTACTTATTTATGTTGATAGCCAGCGCGAACACCAAGCAGTGTGGCACTGCATTGTGGAGCTGAACGCTGTGGGGTGAAAATCACGTAGTGGAAGCGATACCGTGCAAGCTACATGTGGAGTTAAGTATTGGAGGTGGAGATCATGTGGTGCATGATGTGTCGCGCAAGCCATGCCGCACAAGCTGCGCTACTTGAGAAGGAGATGCAGGCAGTGCGGTGCAAGCTTCGTGTGACGAAAAATTGTTTTGTGCAGGCTGTGTTAGGCGCCCACACGGCACCACGGGCGGCAAGGCGGCGCAACCCCGGCGTACCTCCCCCGAGCTCCGGACGCCGACTGACTACCTGCCAGACCACCCCAACCCAACCCGAAGACACGAACTTGACCCGAATTTCGGGTTTGGGGGGGGGGGGGGGTACGGGGACCATGTGCTCTTTCGATGTCCCCCGATCCCTCCCCCACTGGAAATGGAGGGCAGATGGAAGCCTTCGGGCTGGGTTGGGGTGGCTTGGTGGGCGGTGACCGACGGGGCGCCCACGAGGCTGCACGGGCGGCAGCGCGGCGCCACCTCGGCACGCCCCCCGAGCGCCCATGGGTTGTCGTTTTCGTGCATGTTTGTGCTCGATGGTCCAGGATCGTCCTCCATGGTTCTCGCCGAGAAAAGATGCACACGTCCGAGCGATGCCAGGAGCAAGAACACCTCTAAGTGCGAATACTGTTGAGGAGCCTGCGCATACAATGTTATACAGAGAAGCAGCGTGGAGAGAAGCCAGAGCAAGAATAGGAGAGCCTCCTCGGGTGCCGCCCTGTGACGTGCGGCTGCGAGCGCGCATACGAGCTTCCCCGCTCGCGTGGGGCGTGGGACCATTCGATGCAACCTCTTCCTCCGCCCATGCAATGACCCTGACTCCCTACTCCTCCCCGAATCAAGGCTTGACAACGCTGGAAAGTCTGCCTCCTCTCTGAACATCATGTTCCTGAGTGTCAGCATCTGGACGCCTTCTGCGATCGCCTGCGCCAGGCGAGCATGAGGTAGATGAAATATTCAGATCCTTCAACATGGCCCTGTCAATCGACGACCCGATCTACAAAATCGCCACTGGTGATGAGGGCAAAGTATGGCAATCGACTTCGACGGGCTCCCAACATCAGAAAAATACCCCAAACTCGGCATACTAAACTTCTCGGAGATCTGATAGGGTCGAAATCGTGACCTGTGTAACGCACCGCCGCTGCGCCGAACTCGACGCCATACCTTTTAGAGAAGTCCAAGGCTAACTGCTAGCATGTTTCGTGTGCTAGAACGCGAAATGGTCGCAGTCACGGCCAGCACTGCGAACCACCGATTCGGCGATCGTGAAATTGCTCTCCGAGCTGGGCATGCAACGGACGGGCTTCTAGGTGGGGATGGTTTTCATCGAAGTGTTTGCTAGCACGGGTGCGATGCCCAGCCATTGCCTTTTCATACTCAAGCATGGCACGGACATCATAAGCACGGAATGGATAGTTAGCCTTCAGCTCAAGCTGAGGCGCTGCCGTAGCTTGAGCTCAACCCACCCGAAATCAAGTGATAGGTCAAACCCAGAGTCATATTACAAACACCTCGCTGATGCAATTGGCAAAACAAACAGAAACTAGTTGGTAGAGCTTACGTATCTTAGCTTGATATTGAACACCGTGAGCTTAGTGTTGTGTCGCCGAGCTGAGCGAGGCTCAGCCTATCTTCGCTCACCGTCGGAGCTGACAGCTTTCAAGGCGAATCGGGCGTTAGCTCGTCCAGCAGAGAACTACGTAGACAACCCTGTGGTACTGCGCCTTCGCAAAATCGGCAACCTAGAGTTCAATGGGCGGAGCTCAGCTGGATGTCCAAACCCTTACGGGATGGGCCGTGAATGCCGAGTTGGGAAACAAGTGACCTGGCCCAGACCCATGTGCGGGATCCTGGTGTATCCATTGTTCGTTGTTCCCTCGGGAAACGGACGAAAAAGTGTACACCACACCACCCCGACGTCGTCCCCAACATTGCAAAAAGCCCTGGGAGTCAGAAGCAACCCGCCCTCTGGTAAATGCACGTGCTGTGTCACAGTTTCCGACGGTGCTCTCGAGACCCACGACACCTCACCACCCGACAGGCTTGGGGCCGTGAGGGCTCCAGGCCCGCCCTGCACACCCTGCGTCCGCTGGGCCCCAGGCTCCCCCGGGGCTCTCCCTGGGCACGCCGCCCCGCACCTCCGACGAGCGACGTCTGCACCGTCACGGCCGCCAGGCCCCGCAAGGGCCCAGCGCTGCCTGAGGATCCTGCCCTCTCGGGAGGGGCTCGCTCGAGTGCGGCGTGCCAAGAAAGATGCAACCTCGCGGAACATCACGGCCAGGAACTTGGGCCCCTTCTTTGCGCGGCCTCTTTCGAGCCGGTTCGCCCCATGATGGTCCTGGGGCCAGGAGCCGGGCGAAAATGCCCAGCGACAAAACATTGCAACGCTTGGATTCTCGCTCTGGATCCCAACAAAGGCGGTATGTTCGCGCTTCGCGCTGCGCGCAAAGCGAACATGTCTACGCTCTCGCGCCGCCCCGCGCGAGGCGAGAAGAGGAGGGAGGGAGGACGGGCATGAGGAATC